AAGAGTGGACACAAAACACAGGGAAAAGGAACTGCCCAGGTGATTTGACCATTGACTTGTAATCAAGCATCAGAATGATAATACTATGAATTAATAAGTGACTACAGTGTACCAAGGGCTGAGCCAGATACTGAAACAAGTATCAATCATGCAAGAGAGATTCCGGCTTGAATTAAGTGTGTTGGGTTCTTTTTATCACAATGGAACATCCCAAAAGGATGTACTTAGGATTCCAGCATTTAGCACCGAAGGCTTTAGAGTCTTGGCTAGGAAGGACAACTTCGTGAGAAATTCGAAAGAAGCACCCTCGTGCACTGCTGGTGGGAATGCAGACTGGTGCAGCCAATGTGGAGAACAGTATGGAGTTTCCTCAGAAAACTAAAAATGGAACTCCCATTTGACCCAGTGATCCCACTTCTAGGAATATATCCCAAGAAACCAGAAATACAATTTTTTATATCACATGATCTCACTCATTTATGGAATATAATGAACAACATAAACTGATGAACAAAAACAGATCCAGAGACAGAGAAGCATTGATCACATCATCAAACCTCAGAGGGAAGGTAGAGTAGGGTGGGGATAAGGGGGAGAAAACAACTAAAGGACTTATATGCAGGCATATAGGCCTAACCAATGGACACAGACAACAGATGGGTGAGGGCCTGAGCAGGGGAGGGTGGTGGGCAATGTGGGGATAAGGACACATATGTAATCAATAAAGAAATTTAAAAAAAAAATCATGAGGAAGAGAAGGGAAATTCATATGTGTTTTCTGCCTCAAGTCAGGATTAGTCTACAACTAAGGTGCAACTAAGGCTGCAATGGAACATATTAGTGATCTATCAGGATAAAAAATAAAGAATTTAGGCATGAAGGATCTCACCTTCACTAGGGACAGACATTGCTCCAAATCTAAGGGGGAAAAATCAATCAAAGATAACATCTTCCATGCAGGACATGTGGCCCTATCCAAAACGTTCATGGAGACACGCAGTTCATTCCATAAGGTCCTTGAAATGTGGCTCTGTCCAAAGTGCTCATGAGCATATTTGGGCCATACCAACTGGTCCTTGCTATTTGGTCCTGCCCATAATATCTATACTTATAAAGCTGCCCTGGGTTCAAATAGCCTGCAACATTTATCCTTTTGGTTTATAGGATTAACACCTTTTTAAAAAATACTGTACTGTCATGTCTTCTTGGTCCAATAATTGTGTTATGGCTGTATTGCCAATTATAACTCTTCTTGCCTCAGTACCTTAGCTAGTAATGGCACATGGGGTTAGATAGATGGGTCAGCGTGGACCAAATGTCTCCATGGACATTTTGGACAAGGACAAAATTTCAAGAACCTTTTGGCATGGACCCAATGTCTCCATAAATGTTCTGGGCAGAACCAAATGTCCACTCATCTAGCAACCCAGCAATCCATCCATTCAGCAATCATTCATTCAACTACTAATTACTGAGTGTCTGCTCTTTGCCTGGTATTATGCTAAATTCAGAAAAGAACACAACAAACCTGATTTCTGCCTTTATTGACTTACTGACAAAATAACACTAGAGAACACTTTCCACAAAGGATTGATTGATGGATCACAGAGAACACAAGCATCACTGGACTGGCTGTTTAAGTGCAGGGGTGTCCCTTGTTATAAACGATGTAATAAAAATGTATAGCAGAGATACACAATCTTGCTTAGGGGAATAGTAAAGTCTTCCCAGAGGAAGAGACATGGAAGCAGAGACCTTGATTTGGAGAGAGGGGAGGAAGGTAAGTGTTAAAAAGTTCCAGTTAGAGTAAATAGCCTGTACAAGAGCCTGGAACTTACACAGCACACTGAAGAAGCTCAGAGAAGGCCGGCGTTGCTAGAGTTTGACCAGGGCAGCAACTCACCTCTGTGACCTTAGAGGCGGGAGAGGATTTCTTAGAGGCAGAACATAGGGTAAGGGTTGGGCGGGTGTCTTACCAAGTGTCTCTGAAGTGGTTAGCTCAGTGTAGTGGCGTTGTGGGTGATGGGAACCTCTCTCTACTGCTCTGCCTTTTCTGTCTTTGTACTAAACACAAAGGGTGACGATGTGAAAGGGGCTCTTCTTACATCTTGAAAACCTCATCTTCTCCGCAGCAGGAGTTCTCAAGTGGCCCCAAGCTGGTATTTGTAGAGCAGTGCTAACTCTGCCCTTGTGGGGAGTCATCTGTGAGCAATGGGAGTTATTTCTGTGTCAGCTCCTCAGATCAGAGGCAGCTGGGCAGCCAGGATCCACATGGCCTGGTCCAGGTCATCATGAGGCTGATGAAAAGGGGGGTGGAGCTCTGCCAGCTATAAGACCTAGTACTGAGGAGCTCAAGAATGTATTTTAAGCTACTTTAAAGTCCATGGATGCTATTTGCTCCTTTGAAGCTCATTATGGCACCGAGCTAACCATTTAGTAATTCCACTGAAGTCTAATACCAAAGAGCAGTAATTTGCCAGCTAATTCAAGCATCCTGTTTTGCTGAAACTATGGAATACCATATATCATGTATTTCTTCCACATTTATATTTGGAAGTATTTAGGTTGGGATTTTTATTTGTGTATTTATGTAAAGGAATGATGTTGTAATTTTGATAGAGTAACTACCAACCCCATGTAGGTACCATAATTGAATGCTCAAGCTTATTTCATTTATTCAATAAATATTTGCTGATTTCAAACATCTGTGAGGCACACTTCTATGTACCAAAGCTTAGTGAGGAAAGAGATACACAAAGTTTTTATTAATGTGGGGTTTGTAATCTAAAGAGTTTAGATAGTAACCTGGTAACAAAGAAAATGAAGGAAAAGAGAGGTAGGAAGAAAATCAGTAAAAAGAAGGGAAGGGAGAAGGGCATAAAGAAGGGAGGATGGATACTTCCAGTGTTAAATAGTAGGGAAATTGAAAAGATAATGTGACAAATCATACTTGTCATGGGTCTGGTTAATCGGTGCTATGTAGCACACTACTCAAAGCTTAGTAACTTAAACAACATTTTGTTTTATTATTTTTGTTAGTTGAAAATTCTAGAAGGATTCAGCTGGGTGGTTTTTCTGTGACCCACACAGTAGCAACTGGGACAGGAAGATTCACTTCCAAAAATATGTCTAGCCCCTCAGAGCCTCTCTCTCTCTCTATCCCCCTAGCTCCCTTCTTCCCTCTCCTTTCTCCTTTTTCTTTCCACAGATTATTTCATTCTCCACAGTCTGTCCTTGTGGCTGGGGCTTCTTACAGGATGGTTATCAGAAGGGGTTACACTAATTACATGGCAACTTGCTTTGAAGTGTGAGTGAACATTGCAGGTCTCTAAAGGCCAGAGTTTAGAGCATCACCCCTCCCCTATCCTCTTGATGTGAGCAGCACAGAACCCACCCAAACTCGGGGAATTGTGGCATGGACTCCACCTCTCAATGGCAGGAGTGCCAGAGCATACGTGGCCACCTCTAATCGACCACAGAGTCCCTGCCCTGAGGTTGAATGATCAAGGATATCTTTCCTCAGGAGGCAACATTTGAACTGAGTCCTGGATGACAAGAAAAAAAAAAACTAAAATGTTAACTTCTGAAAGCATACCACGCTAGGCAGAGGAAATAGCAGTACAAGACCCTGAGGCATAAATGATTGATGTATTTGAGAAAAGCATGAAGGCCAGTGTAGCTGGAGCTTGAAGACCGAGGCAGAAACTTTAAGGAGATGAGACAGGAAAAGTAGACTCAATTGGCCATGGGCAGGAATTTGGGTGCTATTATTAGTGTGAGGGAAGGCATTGTAAACTTTTGAAATTGGCACAAGGTAATTTATATATTCAAAATATTATAAAGATTCAAAAATAGCAGGCAGAAGGGAAGTTTAGAGACTAGCACAGTAATCCAAGTATGAGATGATGATGATGACCTAGACTAGCTTAGATCCAGTGGAGACATAGATTAGGGTATATGTACAGCACAGGGACAAGTGTAGGTACAGATATAAATATACTAGATGTAGAAATAGATTTAGAGAGAGACCTATGTAGGTTTAGATTTAAGTTGAGATAGAGATTTACATACACATATATAGAAATAGAACTACTTATAGGTTTAGAGATCAAGATATGCACATAGAAATTGATATAGAAGTAGATGTAGATTTGAAGATATGTGTGTGTGTGTTTAGATACAAATACAGATAGATTACAACTTAGAAATAAATATGGTTAGATATACAGACACAAGCACAGATATAGCTACATTAGAGATAGACGTAGAATCTGCTAATGAATTAGGTAACAAAATGAAGATATAAAAGAACTCAAGGATGACTTGCGCAACTAGATGCAGAGCAATGCTGTTTTCTGAATTAAAAGACACTGGTTTATGAAAATTATTCCACCAATAAGGTAAAATAGCCCAAGAAATCAGAAGTATTTATGGGGAAAATGTCACATCTGATTTTTTCTCTTCTCTCTCTCTCTCACACAAATGCCCTTCCTTACCTCTTTCTTCTCCATCACGTTTCTTGTCTCTGGAACATTGTGATTGGGAAGCATCAGAGACTTTGGGGCAAGAGTGGCCTGCATGTAAACAGGCGTGACCATGCACAAGCTGTGGAGTGCGGGCAAATTTGCTCACTTTTTTTTCTTTTTGAAAAGTGGGTCAGCAGTGCCTTTATTGGTGAGGAGGCAGGTGGGGTTGGGGGTTCCCATGGGAGTCAGGATGCTATGGTGGAAGAAGCCTCAGGCCCAACTCGGGAGGGGATTTCTTTAGTCACCATGGGCACAGGTGGAAATGGGACTCCCACTCCATGATGGTCACCCAGACCCACCCCGGCTCCCAGTGGGGACGGCAGGAGCAGTGAGGGGCGGCCCTGAAGTCAGGCTGTACCAGGTCACACAGACCTGCGGTGATGGGACAGGACTTGCTTGGGGCCGGCAGGATGCCAGGCGTTGTGACTGGTGACCTCTCTCTCTCTCTCTCAGTTGGCATTCCTCTTGTCCTTGTCAATGGTGTGGGGGCCCACTGCTCTTTGGAGGAGCAGAGCCCGTGTCTTCCTCACCCAGGACCACCTCTGGTTTCTGACACTTCTCAAAGACGAAGATGATGATAACCACCACGACTACCTCGGTCAGGATGCCCAGGAAGGGCCACAGGGCAGCGAGGCGGCTGCGCAGGCGCAGCGTGATGACGGCATGGTCCACACCCTCGGTGTTGTTGCCATAGCAGGCATACTCGCCAGCGTCTGCCTTCAGGTCAAGCTCCTGCTTGTGCAACTCCGTCTTGGTCTCCAAGGACACCACGAACGTGTTCTTGGACTTGTTGTTGAGAACCTGGTCCCCGGCCTCGGTGATCTTGTACCAGGCCCACTCGGTGACCGGGGGGAAGGACTCAGACTTGCAGACCAGCACCGCTCTCTCCCCCTCGATGCCAAGCACTGAGCTGGCCTCAGCCTCAACCTTGGGAGGCCCATTCACGTTCACGCGGGCGGTTCTGCCTGCGGGCTCCGAGAGGAAGGTGCAGGAGTACTGTCCCGAGCGCTCTTCTGGGTCTACCTCGTACTCCGTGGTCAGGTCGGGCGCTGCGTCCTCCTGCAGCACCCGGTCCCCTTTCATCCAGCGGTGCCCCAGGACGTGGGTGTCACTGGAATTCAAGGTGCAGGTGAGGCGTGTTCTGGAGCCCTCATCACGTATGTAAGTTGAGATATTGCTCCCTGCTCCGGAGCTGCTCTCGATGCCCAGCAGGGTGAACCCCAGAAGCACAAGTAGTCCCGCTGCCATGTCCCCGTCCCGGTCCCTGTCGCCAACCGCCACTGTCGCCAACCGCCGCCCCAGCCCTATGAGAACCTGGAAGGCGGGGCGGGCGCGGGTGCACAGGGAGGGGCGCGCACGGCCTGCCGGCCAGCCACCATCTTCGCTCACTTCTTTAAGCTTCAGTTTCTTCAACCTCAAAAATGAATTATCTATGTCACAGTGCTGCTATGAGAGTTAATATATATATTGCATTGAACAAGATGTTTAGTACCAAGTAGGGCTCAAGAAATGTTCATCTTCCTTTCCTTATATTCTAGCCTTTCAAAATCCCATTTGTGTGTCAAGACCCAACCTTACTTAGCTGCTTTATAAAACCTTTTCAATCATCGCCACTCCTTATTGCATTATTTCAAAATTATTTCTATTAAGCTAATGCAATTCCCGGGTTAAACTGTAATCTTGAAGGCAGTGATTCACTCTGACTCATCCTCTTTTTTCCATAACAAGCAGCCCAGTGCTCCAAGCATAGTACTCCATAAGTACTATGAAAATCCTTGTTGATTGATTCCTTTTTCATTCCTTGAGGTGAATTAAGTAATTCTTCGGTATTGAAGGTCCAGTGAAAAACTGACTCTAAAACAAGTATTTGATATATGGAGTCCCATGTTTATTTGTGTGTGATTTTGAACTAAATAAGAAAGGGACTTTAATTATTTTCTTATTATTTTCAGGTAGTTCTCATATTCAATAGAATGTTATAAATGTGAAAACAAAGGTCTTTGTAATGGTGATTTTTCCCCATGAAGTTGTCTGAAAGTTAGGCTGTCAATATCTACAAATTACTGACAAATTACGTTGATGTGTCAGTCTCAAATGAATTGTATTATATTACATTTGTAAATGCTAAAAGCAGTGCTTGATACCCTCGGTTAAAATTTACCTTTAAAATTTGGCCTTCCGAGATAGATATTTTACATTATATCTTAAAATATATTTGTTACAAGTAGTTTTTCTTAACTCAAAATGTGATTTCTGGATAAAGTTTCACATTAATGTAATATCTTGCTTTCCTCTGCCTCTGTCTGTGACCATGAAATTGTTCTCTTACACGGATTACACAGGTATATCCACACAGCTGCAATCTTTCCTATTACTAAAAAATTATGACCATTTAGGACAAGATTGTCTCCATTTCTGATCAAATATAATCACTGATATCTTTGTCAAACCATTTTAATGTGAAGAGAATTTATTTTTTGGTAGATACTTGACCATGTGTTTTTAAAATTTCATCTCTATGATTTGAGAATCTTTATTTTTCAGGACTAGCTCTCATTTTACTTCATTATTGCTTTCCTAATAACTTATTGATCTTGGCATTCAATAATTTTCTACCTTGAATGTTTTCATGAAATAATAACCCCAACTTAATAACATAATATCATATAATATATTTCAAATAATATATGGACTAATAAGATCTTGCTGCACTACTTAAATGTTATTTTTGGTATATCTTTTTCATCAGAGTCAAAAATTGAGTATTATATAACAAATGCTGCATAAAACCACAACAAAAAGAGTATGAACTAAGAAATACTAAACTAATCATTTCCCTAGTACAAATATAACTAACATCTTAAAGGATGCTAGAATGTGGGCTATTCCACTACTGAAACATTGGCACAAAATCTATGCCCCAAATGGATGACTCAATGAGTAAATAAAATGCCCCAAATGCAAAAACTCTTCTATTTTTCATTGAAGTGATCCGGGCCCTTTCTTCATTTTTATCTTCGCATCATATTATCTCTCACCTTGCTCAAGGATGCTCTAGATGCATCGGCCCTCAGATCCCTTGAACACATGTGTCTCTCTTAACTAGGACATTTTGAACCTGACATTTCCTCTACCTTCAACATTTTCCAAACAGATCTTCATAGGATGCTATTTTTTCATTCTTCAGTTTAAATTTCATCTCTGCAGTCAGACTTTCTCCAGCTATCTGATGGATGGCTTGCTGTATTCATAGAGTATGTGGGTACATAGCTGCATCTCATAGAGCATCTTTCTTTCAGAGTGCTTACCCCATTGCTTTATTTTCTCTCCTTCTCATCAAAATAGGATCTCCATAAGCACAGGGGATATGTCTGGAAAAGGAGTCGTTTCTTTGAATTTATACTTTTTAACAAGCCCCCTGGATTCTATTACACAGACAAATTTGAGAAATTATTCTAGATAAGCCCCTTGAAAATCTGGTAGTTGCCCAATATTTAGTTTACAGGCTATTGATATTTAGCAATCACCAATATCTAACATCATGTCTTTCATTTTGTTGGATGAGTGCATAAACTTGTTAAGATGGTATTCTAATCCAAGATCTGGGTTCTGACTCCAAAGGTCATGAGTTTATCACACATTGGTCAGAGTAATGTAAAAGTAAAAGGAAAATACACTGGAGAGGGAGAATTTAGCACCATGTCCTTAAAAGCTGGTGGTGGGGTCATAGAGACCTACCACTCATTTTATTTCCATAGTTAAGTGCATGATTCATTTATACATATAAAAAAATGTGTTGACCATCCATTATGTGTCAGGCATTTCATAAGCACCAGAAAAATATGTTCAAGACAGACCATACTCATTAAATTTGTTGGTGAACTTTCAGTAGATAGGTAACAATAGAAGTTTGATTACATTGAGTTCTAATATGTGTGAAATAAAAATACAGATATCTATAATATTCAGTTTGTCATCTACAAAATGGATACAGTAATATCTCCCTTAAAATGTTGACATGAGGATTAAATGAGATCACAGTCTTCTAACACACTGTGTAGAACAGAATAGATCCCCAAACTATTTGAAGGAGCATATTTTTTGCAGCATTTTCAATACAAGGTCAGGGATTCCATATTAAGTTGGTAGAATTTAATTCAATTTACATGAATTAAAAGCAAAAATTCCATTAATATAGTAAAGATGGTGACTCATTATCTCAAATGTTTATTAATGATGAAGACACAAGATAATGCTATTGAGGATTATGAATCTAAATAAAATATATGAAAACCCATCAAAAATAAGTAATAATTTCAGTTACTTTGATATTCTGTGAGGCAAAATGATGCCCTTATGCAAGACTGACATAATGTAATCAGTTTACACTCATGAGCCAATTCTGTAATCCAATCCAGCATTACCACCATGATGTTTATTATATTGTGTTGCCAAGGAGAGAAAATTGTAAGGGAAGTTATCATTTGTTAGCTAATTAATTTACTCTGCTCATAGTTTTCAATGAATTCAATGTATAAACCATGGCATTATGAATGTTACATGTGTTTTTACTTAAACTTTACAATCACTAAATGGCAGAGCATTCTCACTTCTCTTTACAGAAGAGAAATGGATGTTCAGTGAGAGTAAGAGTGTTGTCCAGGACACACAGCTGTTTAGCAGTAGTACTTGAACTTAGTTTCTGATTTAACTCTAAACAAACTAGGATATCCATTTACCTTTTTCTTAGTGACACGACACTGCTCTAGTAAGCAAGGCACTGAGTTACCATCATGGTTCAACCTCCATAACAAATATCTACTGATTATGTACTATGGGCATAGTACTCTAAAATAATCTGTGCACATTTATGTGTATAAGACATTATCCTTTGCTCACTCAAAGATGAATGAAATAATGATGCACACTTTCAAAGGACTTGCTATCATTGGTTAGGACCCAGGAATCCTATACAATAAAAGGGTAATATGTAAATCGGCCCAATGGCAGAACAACCAGCCGCTATGCTGCACACTGACCACCAGAGGGCAGACACTCAATGCGGGAGCTGTCCCCTGGTGGTCAGTGAGCTCCCACAGGGGGAGCACTGCTTAGCCAGAAGCCCAGAAGCTGGGCTCACAGCTGGCGAACACAGCGGCAGTGGCAGAAATCTCTCCCGCACTCCAAGGCAGTGGGGAGCGAGCCTAAGCCATCAGTCGGACATCCCCTGAGGGCTCCCAGACTGAGAGAGGATGCAGGCTGGGCTGAGGGAACACCCCCCCCTCCCCGAGGGCACAGATCTCGTGCACTGGGCTTCTAGTAGTACATAAATATAATGAAAGTTGTATGTCCATAACTTCAACAATTTGGAGGCTGGAGATTGTATCCACATTTGGGTCCAGCTTTATTCTTAAACATTGCCTTGTGCAGAGTTGACACACAATACTATTTATAAGGAGGAAAAAAATCAGTAAGCTCAGGAATTCACACTCAGGTGGGTGTAGCTATCCTTCTAATTAAATAACTCCTATTCCAGAATTAGTTTCTACTTGTGCTTCTGTTACCCATATGTAGACTAATAAAACATGCTAGTAACTAACTTGGCAATTGCCAGGAAAAAAATGTCAACATGAATATCCTGTTAAATACCATGGTTGATATTGAAAATGAGTTCTCATTGACAAAAATATTTAAAATACATGGGTTGGCAAAAATATTTTAGAGAAATTTTAATCCTTATATTAACAGGTTGCACAAATCCAGGAACAGTTCTTAAAGTTTCTGTGCCAGGCCATTGGTTAGGAAGTTTTCTGATTTCCAGATAGGTTACCATTCCCTACCTCTGGCCTGATGTTACATTTACCTTGAATGAATGTATCATGCAAGGTGATGGTCAGAGTACCAAACAGAACGAAGAGCTGGAGTTTCATTACAGAACCAATCATGTGAATTTCTAAGTCTGCTTCCAAATAAGTATGTAAAAAACAAACAAACTGAGTAGTTTATGTGAGAGATATTGATCCCAAACTGACTATTACCAGGTAGCACACTTATGAAAGATTAGTCATCCTTGACCCTCCTCAAACATCATGGTTGGCCAGTTTTCTACAAGCTATCCATGTCTAAAGTGGTTTAAGGTCCTGTGTATGATACTAATGCACATGGACCAAAACATAGTGGGGAGAGGTGTGTTTGACTCTTGAGAAACTGTTAAAGCTTTCTATCATAAAGCTTAGAGACATATATTT